CCTCTGGCTTAGGGGGTGTTTTCAGGGTAGGCCCGGGCAAAGACTTGGCGTGCAAGAGGAAGCGATGGGGTAACATCGGGCAAAGAGTAATGTCACGGGGCGAAGTTGACATCGCAGCCACACCAACAGGGGGTAGAATTGGAAAGTAGAAGACATAGGTCTGGGGGGGCGTGCCCTTTTTCGCTCCGTTTCTGGGAGGAGTTGGAGGTGACTTTCAGGAAGTGAGGCGCGCTTGCCGGCGGCGTGTTGCGAATCAGTGAGCAGAGACGGCGGTGGGGGTTCATGCGCGAGGCAATGGGTAGGGTAGGTGAGGAGAGAGAGAGAGATATATATATATATGTGTGTATAGGTAGAGAAGACAAAGAGTAGCCGGAAGTGGTGGGGTTGATATTACTGGGGTGTGCAAGATGAAGTGATCGGCTAACACTATGTAAAGAGTACGTTTATGGGGTGAAGTTGGCATCGCAGGTACGCGAGAGGAGGTAGAAACAGACGGTAGAAGTAAAAGGGGAGGCGCCCTTTTTCGTATTGGTTCAGGAATGCTTTGGGGGTGACAAAGGGCGCCCTCAAAGATTTATGTGAGTTCGTCAGCTGCGTGTTGGAATTTATGAATGACCAGAGACGGTTTTGGGCGGGGCTATCGGTAGGCTTTCGTGAGATATGTGTATAGGTAGAGTGGACAAGGAGGAGCTGGAGAAGTGGATATGGCCGTCAGTCGAAAAAAGAATGGAAAGAGAGAGTAGAATACAGAGGTTTCGGATGGGTGCCCCTTAGCATCTCGATGTCGGGGCGTTGTGGAGGGGAAGAGGACACCCTTGTAGTCTGGGGAAGGTTGGGTATGGTGTGTTGGTCTATGTTTCCCCCTACCGGCTGGCTTTCGTGATATATATATATATACGAAATGATTATAATGTCATGTCACAGATTGAAATACACACAATGGAACCTTCTGTGCACTCATACACAAACAACTTTTCTGCAAGCCTTGATCTCCTTCAGCATTTGTTCAGGATCTTGGATTCCATTCACCTTCAAAATGCATTCCCGTAAATCGCAGCATTATGGTACTTTTAATCCGTCATGATCCTTCATGGGCGCAGAAGCTGCTCGAGGGCCTCCACAATGCTCTCCCACAAGTATCTGTCTTGCCGAATCCTGGCGTATAAGAATATCATCTGAGTCAAGAGAGAACTCAACAGATGCCTAAGACAGACTTAGAAAATGAGAAGACGTAAAGGTCGACTCAATGGATCAAACAAGTCTGGACAACAAGTCTTTCAAACTACCTACTTAGAAGTCGTGTTGAAGCTCCGTAGCAAAGGCAAAGGGCATCGCTACTAAGACTAGTAACAAGGACGCTGTTAGGGGCTCCAGCTACTAGGAACAAGAAGCTACTAAGAGCAAAGCGCGTCGCTACTAGCCGCTAGTAGTAAAAAGGGCGCTATTCGGGGGCTCTTGGCGCAACAAGGACGCCATTAGGGGGTGAGGGTCGGATTGGTCACCAGGATCGGTCACCAAGGTGATCGGATCGGTCGCCACGGATCGGTGACCGGAAATCACGGATCGGCGACTGGAAAACACGGATCGGTGACCAGGCTCAACGGATCGGTCGCTCGGTCGCCAGGATCGGTCACCGGAGGTATAGCGAAAGAAAGTGAAACAAACGAAGCCGACCATTCCGGAGGTCGCCACTAACAAGCTTGCAAACCTGTATGCTGGACTTCAATGTACTGTGGGGAAAATGGTGCATATCCAAAAAGAATATGTAACACCCCATGTTGCCGACGATGTTGCAGTTCATGTCGCAGTTCATGTTGCATTTTTTGGTGGTTGTGGTGAGGAACGATCCAGGCACAAATCCATGTAACAGATCTTGTTGGAGTCCATGTTGTATTTTGTAATGGTTGTGGTGAGGCATGACTTGGGAAGCCTACGCAAGCACAAACCCATTAACAGATCTTGTTGGAGTCCATGTTGTATTGTGTAGTGGTTGTGGTGAGGAATGATCTGCGAAGCCTATGCAGGCACAAATCCATGTAACAAATACTTGATATGTGCGCAGCCCATGTCCATGTTGTTTGGTGGTGGCTGTCGCCGCTGTCGCAATCTTGTTGTTTCGTTATGGCCCCTTTATTCCATTGGTTCTGTGCCAGGTATCCGTTTTAGCCAGGTCTATGTAACAGATGTTGTTTAAATTGCAGAAGAGTGGAGAGCAGGGAGATGTAACAGAATTTGCTCCTTTGTGGAGTTTGGGGATGGCAGGAGGCCAAACCCATGTAACAAACATTGTTCTGTGAAAAGATAGTGTTGGGAAGTTGCACATTTGTTGAAAGTATATTGAAGTCTCACAGCCTTAGGAAAATTGCTTGGGTAGGGTTGCGAAGTCAAGTACTCAACTTGACTCTTAAACTCTTAAGGTTGACGGTTGAAGATTACTTAAGACTTTTAATTTCAAGCGTCCGCAAAATGTATAACTTACAACTTATAGCTTTAACTTATGTAGCATGCAACCTAAATTTAATTAACTATCAGCAATAAATTATAACTTATCATATTTTATCAACTTACCAACTTTGAAAATGAACAGTGCCGTTTTTCACGTGTGCTTTGGGCCTCAGGTATCATGTACAGTCCACCTTGATGCAACCTGCGCGTCACCAACTGTGATGCGATTAAACTTCCCTTTGACTCTAACACGGCCCCTATCGTTGGCGGCACACAGTGTGCGCAAGGTTTCAAGTGCTTCACGCCGGCACTGTTCGCCACGTGACTGCACGCGTGAGAGTGGTAGCATGATCCTGTGCGAGTGACCAGCCACTCTTTCCTCTCCAACGTGAAATGAGCTGCACGTCGTACTTCAGCCAATTTGGCCGCTGCTTCCACTTCAACTTCCTTCACTCTCTTCTTCCACAGCTCAATCACCCCAGGCTCGTGCATTCTCTTCAGCAAGTCGCTCCATTTCACGAGCACGTTCATCATCTGTTCCACTGAGCCTGGTCACCTTTCTCGCAGCATTGTTCCTTTCTTCTTTCACATTCTCCAGCTCAAAGCGAGGGTCGCTGCACATGTTGTACATTCGTACGACCTCTCTGTACCCTGTCTTGTCGAACTTCTTCCAGCTTCTCGTCTTGCTCGGCCACTGCAACTTCAAGCCGAACAATCTGCCATTGCATATTCACCTTTTCCTGGTCTTCTTCTTGCCAGGGTTCACTTGGCTGTGGCGCCATAGTTTCTTCTTCATTTCTCACACGCGGTTCACCCGCTTGTCCACGCTCACGTTCGTCCTGCTTCTCCTCGATGATCTCCTCATGGGCTCGTCTCCCATTCAACCATGCCCTCAAGCCATCCATTGCCAGCCGCGCCAGACTCAAGGCCCCAATCAAAGCCAGGCATAGCATGGTCACCAATGGCCGAACCCACCAGGCCTCGTCGTCATGGCCTTCATCTTCTTCTTCTTCTTGAATCTCTGCACCCTGTCCACCCTGCAAGAGGGACAGAGCAATCACCAGTGCCACTTTGGCGTTGGCTCCGATGGCCTTCGCCATCTTGGCGGTGTTCTTCTTGAGCTCCTCCTTCAACTTGATCTCATTGTATTGCGCTTTACCGATCATCTTGATCAGGTACTTGAGGCCGTTCATCCTGGCCTTGCTCAAGATCTTGGCCCCAATGTCACTTGTGTTGACTGCCGTTGGGATTTCCAGTGATTCGTACTTCTTTGGAGTTGACTCGCTGCTGAAGCCACAAAGTCCAGCAGCAATGTGTCTTGTTCTGCCAACTCCAATGCGCCCAGCCAGTGCTCTCGCTGCTGAGGGGTCTGATCTGCAAACCCGAGCATGTTGGCATAAAAAGGATTGTAACGCAGAGAAGGATATGTAATTCAATGGTCCGTGAAGAGGAGAGCTTTTCAGTTCAACCAAGGTATTCAGGATGCAGAACAGTGATAAACGAAGGACTTTGCCATTAGTTCAATTATTTTTGGTTTCAATCAAATGCGGGGCGACATGGACTTGAAGGTTTAAAGGAAACTAGTGTTAGCATAAAGAGGACTGCAATGTAGAGATCATTGAAAGACAGGCAGTTCGAAGAACCGTGGGGTGAAGAGGAAAGCTTGTCAGTTCAACAATTTTCAGGATGCAGAAGAGTGACAAACAAAGATGGGCAAAACGAATTGAAGGTTCCAAGGAACTTGACATGAAGATGGGTTCAAAGGCTCTTGCTGTGAAGATTACATATTTATTTCCATATT